TCTCTCTCTCACTCTCACTCTAGCTCTCGCTTTCTACCCCTTCCCCCAAAATAAGTAAATAAACAATTTTTAAAAAGGACAAATATTCATTGGCCTGTGCACTGGCCCACACAACTCCAGCACAACTTCATCTTAACTTACACCTTTTTTTTAAACAGACGTTAACACTTTTTTAAAAATTTTGTTTTAATGTTTATTTATTCTTGAGAGAGAGAGACAGAGACAGAGCATGAGCATGAGCAGGAGAGGGGCAGAGAGGGAGACACAGAACCCGAAGCAGGCTTCAGGCTCCAAACTGTCAGGGCCCCAAGTGGGGCTTGAACCCACAAACCATGAGATCATGACTTGAGCCAAATTCTGACACTTAACTGACTGAGCCACCCATGTGCCCTAGTTTTTTAAGTAAGTAGGCTCCACACCCAAAGTGGGGCTTGAATTCATGACCCTCAGATCAAGAGTCCTATGCTTTACCGACTGAGCCAGCTGGGTGCCCCTTAACTTACATCTTCATTACGTTTGCCAAGACCCTATTTCCATTCACAAGCACCTGCGGTTAGGACTTCAATCTATCTTTTGGAGAGCACAACTGAACCCACAGCAGCCAGAATCCCCACATTCTACAGAGAGGGATCTCCACTGTACCAAGTCTTATTTGTCATGCAGGTGATATCTCATAGCCAAACTTCGATGGGAACTTATGTATACCCACCCCTCCCCGCACCCCCCCCCCCAAAACACCGCTGCTTTGCAGGGGAGGATGGAGATAAACACAGGGATGAAGAGGGTAGAAAACCCACTTCCTTCCACCTTGGGGAGGGTGAACAGAGACAAAGCAGGGAGATGGCAGAGAACCCTGCTCTGCAACCATCAAAGTTCTCTCTGGAGGGAGGCAGTCGTGGACGGCATGGGCTGTGGTGGAAACCAGGGCGAGGAGACATTAACTCCTGCCCCGCTCACCACCACCTCGAATAAGCTGCTTAGCATTTCAGATCCCTGGATTCCCCTGGCTATAAAAGAAAGGGTTGAACTACACTGCCTGGGTCGTCCCTAGCTTGCAAATGTTCTGATTTCAGGGCGACATCTGGGATTCCCCACCATTGGGGACTCTGCGTCACCAGAGGTGACTGGGCATGTGGCAGGCAGGCCACAGGATCAAGAGGCTGTCCTGTCCGCCTTCACCCTGGGCTGCCTAGCTGGAGGGCCAGAGCCCTGACTGGCAAAAAGGAAGGGGCAGCCCTAGAAGGGTGTGGAATGCGGTTCTGCAGCATGGTGGCCCAGCCCCTTTCAGGCTCCAGTTAGGAGCCTGGATTCTTTCAACTCCTCCTCTTCTGTGGGTCATTTTCCTGCTCATAGGCACCCCCCACCCCCACCCCAGAGGAGGTCGAGGGAAACTGAAAAAGACCGGTTAGACTTCCTCTCTTATCAGCACTTGACTTAGAAGGTCTTAAGCACGGCTTTGGACTTCCTGAAACTTGACCTCCTGGCATCCCCACCCCTGGTATCCCAGCCCAGCACACCCATTGCCCTCTCCTTCCGCAGGCGCTCCCCTCCACCAGTGGGTGCTGGGTTCCTTCCCATACACTTGCACTCATCCAGGCAATCAACAAGCTGTTTCCCAGCACCCGCGGTGTGGAGGAGATACCTCCCTGCCTCCAGTGGGGCTCACAGCACAGTAAGAGTAACAGGCTCTGACCTTCAAAGAGGGACACCAGAAGGACAGGGGACCAGAGAATGAGGGGACACATCTGACGTCGTGTTTTACACATTAGAGTTTGAACTCAGGCTACTTAAAACTTTAAGGCCGTTGGCTCAGGAGATGAAACGGTTTGTTCTGAGAGTTCCTACAGCTAATGGAAGGATGATGTCCCCCAGACCATGTCTTGTGTGAGCTGTGTCTCCCACGTTCCTGAATGAATGTGTCTCCATCTGAGTATCTGCCCTCCCTGCTCCATGCAGTGTTTTTCTCTGGCAAATACTCTTGGTCTCCCCATCCTTCTGCCCTCCAGCAACCCCCTTGCTTGGATCAGAATCATCCTAATTGTGTGCTTCCTCCACTGTCAAAGTTAACATCCAGTGCTTATGACCGCAATTGCTTCATTTAGATTCTAACATGTTTTTCACATTGCAATGCAAGCCTCTACCAAGATTGATCTCTTCTCTCCACGGTTACCATTTCTCAAGTCTTGTTTTTACATTGATTTCATCCCAGCAGCTTTATTTCAAGTGAATCCAAGTGGATTTCCTCTTTTTTATTATTATTATTATTATTATTTTTTTTTTTTTACTTAATTCTTACCTAGGGAAAACTGGTCTTCAAGAACATTAAAAGACCTTTTGACCCTTTCAAGTGTAGAGAATACACTTTCTCCTTATTTTTGCCTCAGTGGCCTCCAACCCCAGTGCACTCCTCTTCTGTGCTCTGGTACATGCTTCGGTACTCCTCTATCCATAGTTCATAGGTAGAGGAGTGACAAGGTCACAGGCTGCCTGGGATCCTGCCTGGCTGGCCTATAAATCACTACTCCCATGGCACTTCACAGAACTGCCAATCTATCAGCCTCTATCCATCTAGTTACTTATTTCTGCAAGCAAAGTGGATTCTCCAAAACCAAATGGATTAAAACAACCATTTCTTTACCTCACACATGTATAACCTGGACAGGGCTTACAGGGGAACACTCATATCTACTTCACACAGTAGTAACTGGGGGGACTCAAGTAGGGACTGAAGAATCACTCCCCAGATGCCATATTCTCATGCCTGGAAAGTTAGTGCTGACAGTAGGATGGGAGGTCAGGGCTGAGAGCTGGGGGCTCAGTTCCTCTCCACATGGACTTCTACCTCGGTTACTTGACTTACTGTCATCATGGTGGATGGGTTCCAAAGGTGAGCATCCCAAGCCAACATGACACTCTTATGACCTAGCCTCAGGAGTCACACAGTGTCATTTCTACCATACTCTGTTAGTATAGTCATAAAGGCCCACTTAGGTCCATGGAGAAGAGACATAGACCCTACCACTAGATGGGAAGAGTATCAATGTCGCCTTGTAAGAACAAAGGGGATGAAAGACTGCCTTTTATGCTGTAATATTTGCATGCTTATTCTAACATGAAAAATTCTGGTTTTCTCCAACATGTTTAAGTAGTATTCACACTCCCAGGAGAGGTACCGTGTCATCCTGTGATTCTCCAAACACCCTGGCACAATACTACATGCCCACAGATGTTTAATGAGAATGGCCCCACTATAAATGGTGGGCACCTCATGTGACCCACAGATGGTATGCAGTAAAGGGTAGTTACAACTTTCATCATTATTTAATAATAATAATAATAATGCTAACTGACTCGGAGATGCCAAATGAGGGGATGATAAAATAATTCTCCCTGATAGGTCCTTGTAACTTAGAATCCAACTAACTCAGACATTGTTTTTGTATATATAATTTTTTAATGTTTATTTTATTTTTGAGAGAGAGAGAGAGAGAGGGAGAGAGTGCAAGCAGGGGAGAGGCAGACAGAGGGAGACACAGAATCCAAAGCAGGTTCCAGGCTCTGAGCTGTCAGCACAGAGCCTGATGCGGGGCCCGAACTCACGAATGGCGAGAACCATAGTCAGACGCCTAACTGACTGAGCCACCCAGGTGCCCCAGACTTTTTTTTTTTTAAGAGCGAGCTATTTAAAACCATCTGGCTTTTCTACCTTCTGAGAGGCGTTGCCCAACTGGAAAAACCCTGGGAAACCCTTATAAGCTTTCTACTCGCTAGGTGTGATTAACATTGGGCTCTCAGATGCCTGCCATTAGCAGCTGCACCGTGCTAACAGATACACAGCCTAACACTGCTTTCCCAAGCTCCTCTTTCTCTGAGGACTCGCTGTTTCCACAGAAAATTAACTCCAGTAGCGACTCCCAGCTTTGAGGTGTTTTCTAGCACTGTGCTACTCAAAATGGGGTTCACAGACCAGCAGCATTTGCCTCACCTTGATAGAAATGCAGATATATGGGCCTCACTCCCGATGTACCGAATCAGAATCTGTGTTTTTAAAAAGCTCTCCCGGTGATTCTCTTGGGCACACTGGCATCTGAGAAGCACTGTCCTGAGAGATTTGCTCCAGGTCAGCTTAACCCTGCCTTTCCTCCCCGCTGCCCTACAGTGCTACCCTTCAGGCAAGCCTGCCTGCCATCTGGACCCTGGTCAACTAAATAACCTCCCCCACTTCTGGTCGGTTCCTACCTCAGCCATTCCCTTGAAAGAGCCCCATCAGTCATCTGGTCCTCATCTTCACACAACCACTGTTTATGCCAGTGTCTTCTGCCTTAGTTGAACAGGGTGCAGGTGTCTCTGTTTTATTGCCATGGAAGGTGCCAGATTCACTGCCTGTCATAAACATTATACATCTGCACTGCATTTCCTCACTAGTTAATTCACTTAAAATTGAAAAAGAAAACCCCGCTGTCCTCTAGAATGAATCTGCTGAAATTTGATTTCATAACCTCAGAGATTTGAGACTTTGCCATGATCAGGATTCTTTTGACCGATGCATTGGGTTACTTCATTATACCAACAATCCTACCAATTTTCTTTAAAAATTATCTGTTTTCTTAGTAAGTTTGAATCTGAGACAAGATCTGAAACATTCTTGGTTTTAATCAACTCTTTTTGTCTGTGGTTGGGAGTTTTGTTTGCTTTACCAAGGGGACCAAACGCTCTTTGGAATACTTATTCCTCACACAGAACAAAGGCCCATATATTGGAAATCCAAAACAAGACAAATAACAGGCCTCACACGGGACCACATGGCAAGTGTAATACTGGGTCGTTGGCCCGGGGAATACCCAGATGCCACAGCTGCCTTGTGCTCCTTATGATTGGTCCTTATCTTGGTAAATTAGCACAAAGTTTATTCCTCAGCCTCTAGAAGTTCAGAAATTTGGTTTTGTTGGCACAAAGATAGTAGCTGCTCCTCTCTTTGCAGAGACAGATCATGAGATGAATCAAAGTGGAAAGCCAGTTTATTAGCTTACACTGAGACATTATTCTCTCTGGAAATGGAAAACCCCAGTCCACATATAGTCAGTCAGGGCCTTATTTTCCTATAGCCTAGCTACATGGAAAGCGAAACCATTCTCTAAGTCAAATGTAGAAATTTTACAATAAGAAATCATTGACACAGGAATTGGAATACTTAAAGGACGTATGACGAAGACATACTTTCCCAGAAGGGAGTAGCCATGGACACAACAGCATAAGCTAAGGGTTTAGCTGAGTCCCCCCACCGCCCAAAGACATGTGTTGAGGCCCAACCCCCATTCATTGTAAACATGACCTGATTGGGATTTAGAGTCTTTGCAGGTCTGATTAAGTTAATATTGAGGTCATAGGGTGACTGTCCGTTCTGACTAGTGTCCTTATAAGAAGAGACACAGAGACACACAGACATCACAGCCATGTGACGACAGGGGCAGAGATTGGAGAGATGCATCTAGAAGCCGAGGAACACCAAGGATTGCCAGAAAACACCAGAAACTAGAAGAGCCAAGGAAGCCTTCTCTCTTACACATTTCGGTGGGAGTGTGGCCCTGCAGACATCTTGATTTCAGACTTCCGGCCACAAGAACTGTGAGAGAAATAAGTTTCTAGTGTTTGAAACCATCCAGTTTGTAGTACTTTGTTACAATAGCCCTAGGCAGCTAAAAAGAGTTGTTTTTCCGGCATGGAATCTGAATGAAGGGAAATCAGAACAATCCCACGTTGAATGGTATCATGCTACGAGAGCCAGCTCACCTTTCTTGTTACAGAGAGGGCCTTTCAAATGGGACTGGGATATCTGAAGTCCATTAGCTGAGGCCCACTCCTACATGGACAATACTTATGGGATTCAATAGTACTTGCGGGGTCAAATTTCATGTTTAATAGGAATCCCACACACTGAGGCACATGTCCCATTTCCAAACAGCAAACAGACCAAGTAGGGTGTAGTACAATCCTCCAGAAGATGCAAAGACACTCGGGAATAACTAATTAATGGTATTCCCTGCCACCAGCTTTTTTTTTTTTTTTTTTTTTCCTGGAAATACAACCATATTCTGACAATGCTGTGTAGCTGGAAAATGTCCTAGAAAAATCTTTCTGGGCTTCACTTCCACAGCTCTTATTCACTGGCTTCTGAGGCTTCCTTGAGGGGTCAATAGACCATTGGCCAAATGAGTAGACTCCTCAAACTAAACATGTTGCACAATTTTGTTCCTAACGATTTAAGTATTGGTTTGAATTTTGAGTTTGAATGGAAGGTAAAACTACGAACGGGCCCCTTTGGGCACCCAGCTTCCCCCAGGCGTCCATAAACCCTGGCAGTGCCTTCCTCCCATCCCTTCCAGTCACGCATGCTCACTGCCACCACCTCTGGCCAGCTAGATCTCTTCTCCTGTCTGGGCGGGGGGATGATGGGGGCAATAACCAAGAGCCCTGCAGGCCTTCTTCTGAAAAGGGGTGGGTAGGAGTGATTGCTTGTGAGGCACAACCAAAAGTGAAAAAATCCCAGACTGATCGGCCACCACGTCTATGACCCATCACCACCCATGCAGTTAAATCCAGATGACATCTTCAGAACAGAGAGCCTCTCCCCTCCCTGCTGTCCCTGGACTCCCATCCAGGGCCCCCACAAAAGCTGCCTTCAAAACCTCCCAGGGAGAAAACTGTAACTCAGAACACCTAACAGCCCTATCTATAATATTTATATTTGGTGCCTCACCTATACCCAGCACTACCACCTACCCCATAAACATACACTTTTCTCACATCGTATGACCGACAGAGAGCACAGCAGAACAGAGCTTGCCCTGAAAACCAAGTTTTACTTCTGACTTTAGAGCCACAGGGAGAGCATCTCCAGCAAGTTGGAATATCCATTCTGTGCCTCTCTCACCACGCAGGGATCAGAAACACCGAGCTCCCACTCACAGCCTCTTGACATTCATAGACATTTTCAGGTTTCCTTTGAAAAGCAGCATTTTGTTTTATCAGACAGAAAGCTGAAACAGCCAGATGTCTGGTTCAATCCAGGAGAGCAGGCAGTCTTAACGGCACGTGATGGCCACTGAAACGTTTGCTTCTGGATCTCGTCTTTGCTCCGGATCCTGGCCTTTTCTGACCAGAAAGGGTTTTTCTTTAGATATGTTAATACCTTTCATCTGGCCACCCAGTCATATGTTGAAGATCTGGCAGCCCTTGCAGATGGGTAACTTTACCCATCTCTGCTCTGATCATAAATTAATCCTACACCTAAGATCCTAGCAACTTTATTTCCCAATGTGGTTGGGGAAATTGGGCACTGGCCTTCCCAAGTACTGACACCTCTTGCTGTTTTATGGCCTCAGGTGTGAGGACGGAATAGCAGAAACAATGAAAAGGCTATTTTAAAAGCTGTGTGCATTATGGAAATACTGTTGCTTTCCCTGTATAGTGATTTGTAAAATGTCCTTATTCTTAGGGGGTGCAAGCTGTAATGTTTAGGGATAAAATGTCACAATTTGTACAACTTACTTTAAAAAAAATTAATGTTTATTTTTGAGAAAAAGAGAGAGAGCTTGAGCGGGGAGGAGCAGAGAGAGGGAGACACAGAATCTGAAGCAGGCTCCAGGCTCTGAGCTGTCAGCACAGAGCCCAACATGGGGCTCAAACTCACAAACAGTGAGATCATGACCTGAGCTGAAGTCGGCCGCTCAACCGACTGAGCCATCCAGGTGCTCCTGTAAAACTTACTTTTAAATGAACCAGCCAAACACATACACAGACACACACAGACACACACACATACACACACACACACACACACACAGAGCTACATGTATGTAGATAAAGCAAACAAGGCCAATGCTGGCAATTATTCAGGCTAGGTAAAGGGTATGTGAGCATTCCTTGTACTATTCTATCAATTTTGTAAATGTCTAAAATTTTTCTTATTATTAAAGGAAAAAGAAGCTGCATTGCCTTCTACACTCGAGGGTAAAAGGCTGATAGAGAGATGCTCCCTTTTCCCCAACAAGGCTGGTTCTTGGAAAAGCCAGCGGTGTCATCCAGATGAAACTGCTTCAGACAGAGATGTTAAATAAAAACCCATCTTCATTTTGGACAGGGAGGTCTTTGTAGAGCTCGTTTATGGCATTATGGCATTTTCCTCTCTCTGCCTGGGGCCAAGAGACAGGGAGGAGCAAGAGACAGAGGGTCTCTGAGCCAGCACGTGAGCTGCTCTGGGCAGGCAAGAGTGACCATGCGATGGCCCGTAGGGAGTGTGGGATAGCCTGCAGGCGGGGACCCAGAGAGCTGGGGCCGCCATAACAAAATACCATAGACTGGGTGGCTTAAACAACAGAAGCTTATTTTTCACAGGCTGAAGTCCGAGATAAAGGTGCTGGCATGGTTGGTGCCTGGTGAGAGCTTTCCCTTTGGGCTTTGGATGGCACGCCTTCTCGCTGTGTACCCACATGGCCTTTCCCTGTCTGTGAGCACACTCGTGTGCAGAGACAGCGAGCTCTCTGGACCCTCTTCTTAAGACGACATTCATCCTATGGGATCAGAGTCCCGCCTTTATGGCCTCATTTAGCCTTAATTATTTCCTGCAAAGCTCAAACTCCAAATTGGCCACCCTGGGGGTTAAGGCTTTAACATATGGATTTGAGGGGCACACAAACATTCAGTCCATAAATACCTCATATTGATTTTGCTTCTGTTTTCTGCATTGTAATTCCATTGGACTATCTTCAAGCTCTGGAAAGTTCGTTAAACACAAGAGCCTTAGGTTAACCATTTCTTGGAGAATGGGAGGGAGGGCCCGGGATCCCTCCTTCCCTGAGAAGCAGACTTGGAGGGAGCCCCTGCAGCACAGACTGGCGGCTGCGAAATGGCCAGAGTTGAGCAGGGAGGAGCCCTGAGCAGTGGGCTCCTGGAGCGAGCCAGTGGGCTGGTAGCAGCTCTCAGCTGTCGCAGAGGGAGCCCCAAAGATATGGGGAAGGGGGCCGGGTTTCCCACAATGTCACAGGAGTGAGGCTCAGACTGTCTCAGGGGGCAGAGAAAACCTGGGAATCCATGCACTCTATCACAGCAAGGACACATTTTTGCCTTCCATCTCCCCCAGCCACTCCAACGAGGGGAGAAGATGTTACTGGGAAGGTCTTCTTTTGTGCCAAACGTGTGGGTTGGTTTGTGAAAGCAAGCTGAGGGCGGAGATGTCGGCCTCAGCACCAAGCCCTTTGGAAAGGGGCACGAAATGCGCGCTGTTGGTGGAGAAAAATTTGGAGCCGTTAAGGGCCGACCCAGGCTGCAGTGAATGAGACCCAGAGTTTGCAGGAGGAGCCCCAGAGGAGAGGGGAGATGGCAGAGAGCTCAGCACTGCTTGGTGAGACACCATGGCCACAAACGCCCCCAACCTTGAGGAAGCCCGACAAGACTCAGGATGTGCTTGGCACAAGAGAGTCCCTAATGGAAACCACGTGAAAGGTGGCTCTCAGCATCCCACGGCCCAGGCTGAACAGAGGCAGAACATTTAGATAGAGCAGGGGGCCAGCAGAGCCCTCCTGACAGCCGCCCACACGCGCAGACTTACTTTCAGGCTTGATCAGAAATGGATGGTAGGAACTTGAGCTTCCTTTACACAGGTAACCGTATCTTCCGAAGCCGTTTCCTTCCACTTTTACTAGTGGTTTCTCCACGCGCCAGCGTCCTGTCGTTTCATGCTAATAACCGAACTGCTTTCTTTGCAGTGGCTCGGTTCTCAGACAGTGTAATTTGAGGTTTGGCCGACTCCTTAAATACGTATCACGTCGCTGAATTTAGGACGGGAGGAAAAGAGTGCAGAACCAGTCAAGGCATCAAAGACAGGCTCATCCTCGTTCCCAAGGCGAAAGCGAAAGGGCCATCCAGACCTCCTCCCTCCTCTGGCCCTCCCTTCCAGTGCCACGGCCATGACCTTCCCCCAACACCCTGTGCGCAGCTCTACATTCTCCGTGTTAAGAGCAGCTGTCCTGTGATTTGCTGGTGTCCCCCCAGGGAGCTGGAGCTGAATCACTGGACAACGGCAGCTGATTAGTTTAAAGCTCGTGTTTAAAGGGAGAGAAAGGGCTTTCTGAGATAAGGAACTCCAAGTGGGTACACCACTGACCCGTGCCGTCGAGGGTTAACAGCGTAAAGGTAATAGGGGTTTCTAGCTAAAAGGGAAAGCTGCCAAGAAGAGCCCCTAACCTAAGCCTGCGCCCCATTCTTTTAATCCGTGACTTCCTCCAGCACTTCCTCTAGCTTGGGGGAGAAAGATGCAAATTTGGCTAACCTCTGAAAAAACTTGTGGTATGTGCAGAGCGAGCGTTTCAAGCAGAAAGCAGAGACCAGGGGTCGTTTCCGCCCACGCGCCTCAGCTCGGCCTCCAGGGATCACCACGTGGTTCGTCGGGACCCTCCCAGAGTCTCTTCCAGATGCCCTTGGAAAAAAACCTGGGCAGCCTGTGTCGCGCCGGAAGCTCAGGCGCGTGGCGCTGACCCCAGGCAGGCAGGTGCCGGGCCCGGGGCGCGCGGGCCCCTGCTCCTTGCCTTGATCTCCACTACCCTCTGCATCTCTGAGCCAGTCCACGCAGCGAGCGACCAGGGATACCTGCAGATCCGCCGCACCAAGGTGCGTGGGTGGGAAGCCGAGAAATGACTGGCCCGGTTACAGCCACAAACATACTGATGACTTTATTATGGGCAAAACTGCCGCCCTGCCCAAGGTCTCTGGTGAAAAAGGAAGTCAGTCGTTCACGGCAGCTTTTGCACACTGGGCTATTTATACAGATGGAACTAGAGGCCTGGAGATCAGAACACACCAAATTCTGATCTTGCCAATCATGGCTTATTTCAGGACAGAAAAACGGTCCTTTTTTTTTTTTTTTTTTTTTTTTTTTTTTCAACTTAAATGTATTAACAAAGAACTGGCTGGTTCCACTGGAAGGAATCTGACTTCAGCTCCTCTTCAGACAGACTCCCTCCAGCCTTTCCCCCACCCCCACCCCCACCCCGCTGCCTGATGCCGGGGCACGGCCTGAGTGGCAGCTTGGCCAGGTGCAGCCACCCTGGGGGAAAGACCGTGGGTGGGGAGGCAGCTCGGAGGTCCTTCCAGGCAGGAATGTGCCTCAGTATATGGGCTGGAAGCCACCTGCATCAGTATCCGACAGCGGTAAGAATGCAGATTCTATTCAGTCTAAGTTCCCACTCTCTGGGAGTGGCATCTCAGAATCTATGTTACTATTTTTTTATGAAAGTTTTTTAAAATTCATATATTTTTGAGGGGGGGGGAGGGCAGAGAGAGAGAGAAAGAGAGAATCCAAAGCAGGGCTCCATCCCACAACCTTGGGATCACGACCTGAGCCCTGAAATCCAGAGTCGGATGCCTAACTGACTGAGCCAGCCAGGCGCCCCTCAGTACCTATATTATCAACAACCTCCCCAGGTATTTCTTACGCAGATTTGAATTTGAAAAATGACATCTCTTTCACCACATTGGGAATTCACTAAATGCAGGTTGAGTGAATAAACACCAACTAATTCCTGCTAAGGTATTAACCTATCCCTCTCATTATGGGGTGGCATAAACACACACACACACACACACACACACACACACACACACAGACTCTTGAAGATTCCAAAACTGAAGTTAAGATGGCAGAACCTTGGAGACTTGTCAGGGTGGTGACCCTGCTCGTATGCCCTCAAATTGCCACGTGGGCCTTCTGCACGTAGGACCGTGATCCCATGGAGACAGATACCAGTGGTGTTGAGTACTAGCCATTTGCTCATCAGCTACTATGTGCTCACCAGGCACAAACATCTCAATTTTCACATCCATGTGGGAGGTACAATCTCCAATTTCCAGACAGGAAAACCGGGCTCAGAAAGGTTAAGGAATTTTTGCCTCTGCATATGGCTACTAAGCGTCAAGGTACAGATGATTCACGTCCAGTCATCCAAGCCCAAAGGCTGTACCCACCAAAATCTATTTCATAAATTCCAAATGGTGTCAGAGAATCATGAACTATCAGGACAGGTAAGAACTCTGGCCTTATCTAGTCCAGCCTCCTCATATACTAGTGAGGGGCAAAACAGTGTGAACATGAAGTTTCCCCATTTGTTTTGTCTGGCCTGCTTAGTGTCTTTAAAGAAACTCGAATTCATCAGCATTTAAAACTCTGGAGATGTTACATTAAAACCCAGATTTTCCCTGTCTTGAAAAGCGAGCGATTTTGTAACCCTGGGCCTCATTCCTGGTTCTGGTAATGGTTAACTGTACTGGTTGTGGAATCCACAGACCTGGATTTGAGTCTTGGCTCTAGGCCTTATTGGCTGTGCAACCTTGGATAAGTCACTTTACCCCTCTGAGCCTCCTCCCTCAACTGGAATGTACGTACGGTAACAGCAGCTACTGTGTTCCCTCTGATTCATATGTTGAAGGTCTGACCCCCAGTACTTCAGAATAGAAGTGTATTTGAAGATAAGGTCTTTAAAGAAGTGACTGGGTAAAAATGAAGGCTTTACCCTCATCCAGTATGACTGATGTCTTATTAGAGGAAAAAGAGGGGCGCCTAAGTGGCTCAGTCAGTTGAGCATCTGACTTCGGCTCAGGTCATGATCTCATGGTTTATGAATTTGTGCCCGGCGTCTGGCTCTGTGCTGACAGCTCAGAGCCTGGAGCCTGCTTCGGATTCTGTATCTCCTTCTCTCTGCCCCTCCCTCCCACTCAAAAATAAGTAAACATTAAAAAAACAAAGAGGAAAAGAGACACCAGGGGCACATGTGCACAGGAGAGAGCCTTCTGCTAACTGAAGAGACAGGCCTCAGAGGAAAACAACCCTGTCGGCACCTTGATCTTGGACTTCCAGCCTCCAGAACCATGAGAAAATAAAGTTCTCTTGTTAAAGTCACCCAGTTGGTGGCATCTTGTTATGGAAGGCCTAGCAAACCAATACAGTCTGTTTTCCAGAAGAATCCTTGAAAAGCCTGGTACGTAGTAGGTATTTGGAAAGGGTTAGCTGTTGTGCTTCCACAGTCAGAACCAAGGACGTGGGATTGTTTTGCGTTTGGAGGCTGCCCTTTGAGCCAGCCTTCTCTGCTGGCATAGTGTGCCTGCCAGGTGGCCTGGAATGTGTGCACGGCGTGGCCAGAACACCCTCTGCCTTGGACAAGACTGGAAAGATAATGAAGGATTTGTCAATTCTTGTTCAAGCCACCACCTTCCTGTTTGCACTTGTTATGACAGCAACCCCTTTCTTCATCTCAACGTCTTTCTGAACAGGCCTCCATCTCTAAATACGAGCTCAATCTTCGTGACATCTTTTGAGATGAGTTAATGACATCTAGGGGGCTACTTGGACTTATTGGTAAACTATGGCTCAAAGTAGAATGGATTACTCCTAGCACATATTCATAGTTTTTCACAGCCCTAATATGCTGATTTTGCTAATTCTAGGGCATCTATCTTTCCATGTCTGACTGCCCTGACCTATTCTTGGCCATGCCTCAATGGTCTCTTGTGATTCAACAAGCTCCCCTCCTGATCCTTTGAAGTTTATCTGAACTTCCAGCCCACGAAGGGAAAAAAGACGATATTTTATCTTGGCGTCACTGGATATCCTTACCTGCATCTGTCATAAAGCAGATATTCATTCAGTTCCAAAATCTATGTAATACTCTTCAAAAAGCAGTAGACATTAACTTCTTTTTTTCTGGGAATGGTTCCCAATCATTTATTGGAGAGTAACCCCCATGACTGGAGATTACTATAGTATGATGTAGTTTTGTGCTATTTTGAACAGTTCCCTCATATAGAACTGTTCTGTCCACCAGCCACATGTGGCTGTGGAATACTCAAACACAACAGATTTCAAAGACTTAGTATAAATAATGAGAATATAAGGTATCTCATTAATTTTTATATTAATTATAGCCTGGAATTATAATATTGTAGAGGTATTGGGCTAAATAAAATTTACTCAATTAATGTCACTCATTTCTTTTTACTTTTTTTAAATTTACTTACTTTAAGAGAGAGAGAGCACACAAGTGGGGGAAGAGCAGAGAGAGAGAGGGAGAGAGAGAATCCCAAGCAGGCTCCACGCTCAGCACGGAGCCCGACATGAGGCTGAATCTCATGACCGTGAGATCATGACCTGAGATGATTGAGCCACCCAGGCGCCCCATTTTCTTTTTACTCTTTAAATGTTAACTCCAGAACATTTTAAATTACATATGCAACTCACACTCTATTTCTATCAGACAGTGCTGGCAAAGAAGAGAAATTGAGGGACCAGAATATTTGTAAGTGGCTTGCTCTAAGTTCCATGGAGAGTCGGACAGCCCGGGCAGGGCTCTACCAGTAGATGCATATAATCATATGACATAGGAATGGCACCATTTGGCATGGCTCTTTGAAAATATCTCCCCAACACCAAAATCTTCATCCACCACTTGGTTTCTCCTGAGAAGAAAGCATTAAGTCTTTGAAAATATCTCCCCAACACCAAAATCTTCATCCACCACTTGGTTTCTCCTGAGAAGAAAGCATTAAGTCAGCCCAGAAGATGAACAGAAACCCATAATCCTCTACGAGTCTTAAAGGGTAAACTAAATGACCTAAGACTTTTCCATCCCTGATGTCTAGAGCAGTCATAAGAGTGCTCTGTACTCCCACTACCACATCAGAACACGTCTGACTCAGAAAGATAGTGAAAGATTCACATGACAAATATTTTCATTCTGTTATCTCTTTTTTGCCAACCACAGTTGAGGTCACTCAACAAATCCCCAAATGATGTCACCTGAGGTACTGAAGGGATCATTATCTTGCATCAGGACTCAGGTATGCGTTGCATCCAAGTAAAAACACGAGGCAATGATAGGTCACCTCAAGTGACTTTGTCTCCGCCTTAAGGAGGGGAAGGCCGCACAAAGACAACCAGCATCCAGTGGGGCAGACTTCGCTGTGTGGGGATCACCCTCTCGCCAGAGAGGTCCTTCTCTGATCTTGCCTGTGCCCTTAAACCCTCAACCCCGTCAGAGCCATTCAGGAAAGACCCCTGACTCACCCACCCACAGAGTCTGAAATACCTTCCTTATCTTGGGGTCACTGAGAGACAGGCAGGAACCTTGATATAAGAATAAAATAAACGGGTCTGTCAACAGCTTGAAGGGCTGTTAGTTCATAGGAAACTCACTAGGTTCTTTCCAGAGCTTATTTATTCGGACTTGACATATGACTACAACAAAGCAATTTAATAGCTTCGCTAGAAATG